TATATTGGAATCACTACTGTGGAACAAACTGCTTCAGGCACATGAATCATAAGGGCACCAAGTTAGAAAAGGTGAAATAAAAACTTGTAAAAACATTTGTAAGAAAAAATTTTTGGATTTAATAATTAATCAATTAACTATTAGATTTGAACCAGTTCTATACATATACATACTTCTATATGTGAAATTGCCAAACTACTTTTAATTCATACTGCAGCCTTAGGTTACGGTTACTATGGATGCAAATTCTGACGAAATTTTGATCTGACAAGTTCTGACGAATTCGTCCAAACAAACAAATACCTGTTTTCCAACGAGAGTATTTACTTTGGCAGCAAAGGGCACGTCAGAACATGCACGATGTAGTCAGAATCATTAGAGCGTTCAAACAAGTTTGATTTTTTCGTGCATTCTGACATTGAATTTCGAGTGTTTTGGTTTTTTCAACATGGATATTGATAAATTGATTAGTCTTGTGTTCGAGAATAGGTGTTTGTGGGACATTAAAGACAAAATATTTCTCATTTTGGTCTCATTCTGAAATACTCAAAAAACTTTTGCGAGTTGTCCCACAAATCTTGATATAGCATTTGGAACTCTCCCTTATCGTCTCTTAAGAAAAATAAGTGGGAAAACATGCACTGTTTTCCCACCACATATCAAGAAAATAAAACTCATCAAGTTCGTCCATTTTGCTGGAAGGCAGAAACGTACTGACTATCAGAAAACACGCACAGTGTAACCACCTTGTTCTGATGAGGATTTCAGACGTACTCGTCAGAACAAAATTTCATCAGAATTTGCATCCATAGTAACCGTAGCCTTAAGTAGCTTCCCTGACATTATTGCAGCATGCCTCATTTTTTTTAACTTTATTGGCAACAACAGCAACAGCCAAACAGAGTTTTTCAAAACTAAAATTAATCAAATCCTATTTAAGAAGTAGCATGTCACAACACTGTCTTAGCTCTGGCTACTATATCAATTGAAAAATCAATAGTTTGTCAACTTGATCTGGAGAAAGCAATTGATCGATCTGCAAACGAAAAAGAGAGAAAACAACAATTTTAAAGTTTTTTTTATGTATTATTATGAATTTGTTACGAAACTACACTTGCATACATTTTGTCAATACAGTTTACATAATATGTAGTAATCATTATTAGGTACTCTGTACTTAAAGAATTATATTTTGTTTTATTATTATATTTGTATTTGTTAAATTGAATATTTTATTGTTGAAATGCCTTGAATCTCAAATAAATTGCTATTAAGTAAGGTTTTAAATCAAAATAATTAGATAAATGTTTTTAAATTAAATATTCCAAAATAAATTTTGCGAGATCCCTTCCGAGGAACAAGGGGTTGCACCAATTCTATTTGCTCCAGGGCACTGAATATGTAGTTATGCCACTGGTTGGAATATAATATGTAAATTAGTTTAGTACTTTTATTTCATTGTTTTATTTGCAAATACTCAATTTCAGTTAGAGGTAAAATAAAGATTAATTTTTTGCTATCAAAGTTTGAATGCAATAAAAGTACCATCCCATCTCATCCATCTGAAATTTATCAGGTTCAGAACTCTAAATTGTCTCTAGAAGAAATAACATTCAAATGTGTTTATTTTGTTTTATGGTCTGAAGACTACTTTAGTTAGCATAATGTCAATAGTTAGATTTCTTAACAAAGATTTGAAAAAAAAGTTATTTGTTCAATAATAATTGAAACAGATTTGTTATCAAAGTTGGATTTTTATTCAAAAATCCAACTTTTATTTTCTGGAAAATATTCTTAAAGCACTTAGATCCGTTTCAGTTCCTACTGAATTTATAATTTTGTAATAAAAACATTATTATACAAATAATGGATAATACCAATAAAAAAAAAAAAGTATCAGTATTTGAAATTTTATAATATTTATGAATTAAAATAAATTCGAATTTATATCTAACCAAACATTAAGTGTGATATGCTATTTATGACTGGTATTGTTATATTAGAAATTTACTTTTAAAGACATTTAGTGTTTAATAAACATTTAATATCTATTCTACTATTGTATATTCCAGTAAATAAGTCAACTTTAAGATTTTTAGCTCAAAAATTCTGGTTTAGACCTCTACCTGCCATATAAATCAATTTGTAATATATGCTAAGCTAATGGTAGACTAGAATAAAAATGCAGATTCATTATATAGTAGTCAATGGCAACATTTTTCATAGCTGTAACATTTTTCAATATAAGATATATATATTATCATATAATGTATGTATATATAAATTATATAAACAAAGGCAAAGGAATCCAATTGAATTTTTATAAAAATGAAAGGCAAAACAACCTGTATTTGGATCCAGCAATAAAAGTTTTACTGTTGAATACAAATAAAGGTTTTCTCTTTCATATAAGCTATATATATTATATAGCTTACACAAAAATAGGATCTAGATAAGATACTAAGCAACTGCTAAAAGTTTTCAATTACCATATTTATGCAGATATAAGAGCATACTCTTATAGATGGGACTAACTAAACAAGCACTATATTCTGCAAAGTGACTAGAAAACTCACTATTTTAAAAAAGTTTTTTATTGTATCGAAGTCTTTATTTTTAATAATGGCTATCACAGAATCTGAATCATCATACCAGGTACATATCACTGAATAGTTTCTGTATCAGTACAATTACATTCAATTTACATTGACACATTAGTGCAGTGCTCTTAGAAGCCAAAACAAGTTGGCACAAAAGAACATGCTGTTACATGCAAGAGATTCTCTTATAAGTAAAGGAGGACACAAATTTCAAAAATGCAAAATAAAGCAATTTTCACTTATAAAAGCATGATCTTATTTGCAGAACTTTATTGTGCATAAGATCTGTCAGTAAAATGCAGTATACCAAGACACCTCCGATTATCTACTGGTAATCATTCAAACTGAAGTCAATACCTCCAATAAAATATGAAAAGTTGGTAATTATATTCAAAGTAAACAAAGTGAAATATTCATTTTTTTTAATCAAAAATCGTACTCCTAGAACCTATTTCCAGTGTGATGAAAAAAACAAAAGAAACAGTTCACTACAAACATTTTCGAACTTCTGCGAGTTCTTCCTCAGATGAAAAGGGAGTTTCTGATGGGACAGAGTGAACTGTTTCTTTTGTTTTTTTTGTCACACCGGAAATAGGTTCTAGGAGTGCGATTTTTGAAATACATCCCGGTGTTATTGTTGTTATCAGGAGGTTATCATTGTTGTCGGAGATACACTCTCCAACTTTGGCAAGAACGGCTGAAAAGTTAGAAATTTATAGAAGCAAACTTAAAGGAAATTGCATCAACAAAAGAGATGCAGAGGAACTTCCTTCCGCCTGGAAGTTTGCAATTAAAAACTTAAAATAGGAGCAGGAACTTTAATAATATTTGTAATAAAAACTCTATAGTTAAGTAGAAAAACTCAGTATAGTGAAGTAAGCAATATTAATATTTAGTATTAACAGTTTGTCTATTAAGTTAGAGGTATTAATATTTAGTATTCACAATTTGTTATTTTTTACTATTTTTATTTTATTTTTAGTATTAGTAGCATTTGTATTAATTTTATTATTTACAAGCATTTTTGGCTATTAATAGCGTATATGTTAACGGTTATTAATATTTATAGAGTAGAGCCTTGAAAACTTGACCTAATGTGGATCGAAGGGTGGCCAAGTTTGTGAAAATGCCGGGTTATCAGGAATGGGGTTAAAAAAGGATAAGTATGCATGTTTCCTCGGAAAATATTGTACTGTACTTGTATGTATTGTTTGCTTGAGAATACAATAGAGAATAAACTGCCCAAATACCCTTAAACAAAGGAAAAGTATGTCCTTTATGAAGGCATGAAAATGAAAATTAATGAATACACTGTGTACAGTAATTTACCTAATAAGACAGACCTCAGAAAAATACTTTATGAGGCATAAAGCTGTCTATGATGAAAATTAATTATCTAAGGGTATTTTTGCCCTGCCAAGGTGTGGCCGAGTTATCCGGAATGCCGGGTTATCGAGTGCCGAGTTTTCGAGGCTCTACTGTATTTTGTATTTTGAACTTGTTCTATTTTTTGAAATGTTCCATATAACCTGAGGATGATCCATTGATTAGATTGAAAACTTTTGTTTTAATAATAAATCTCTCAGCGAGTGATCAGGTGTTGATTAAGTTAAGTTGTTATTATTGTTGTTGATTTTTTTTTATCGTTCTGTTACTGGTTTCTGTGGATTTTTTAAGAAACACCTAAAGTTTTTGGCTTTTTTCAGTAACTCATCACACAAAGAATTCTCAAAGGAAATGTTCATTTCTCTTCTCAAGCATTTTGAATGTTAAAAAAGTATGTTAAGACAGGAATTTAAAAACAACAACACATGTTAGGAATAGCAAAATCAAAGAAATAACAATAAAATAAAGGTTATAATAGCAATATTTTAACCATACGGATTTCTCGACAAACACCGCTAAGTTAAAATACTAAAACAAATTAAACGAATTCTCAAGATTTCCGTAAGAAAGATGCTTTACGGCAATCATAATACATCCAATTTCTAATTTTTAATACTTTATATATTAATTTATAAGTACAATATGCTGGAAATTAAAAATCTAGCATTTGTAAATAATTAAAAATACGTAAAAAAAAATTCACTACGTTTTAAACACTGGATTTTTTAATTGTCAACAAACACAATAAAATATCGTCTCTTTGTTTAATGTAAACAATTACAAAATATTTATAAAATGCGATGTAACAAGTGCTTAGCAACAGCCACGAATGTAAGTTCCAAGATATTTCAACGTCTTAATTACTTTTATATTTTATAATTTATATCACCTGACATCATCATCATCATCATCATCAACTTTAAAACTGAAAATTCTACATTATGACTTGTCATTCTAACTATTTTCAATAATAATAATAATAATTATATATAACTTATTAATAAAATATCCAACCTGAAGCTTTTGTCTAGATTATTCACACATTCGATGAATTTTGAACACGCTTAACTATTATGAAGGCAAACTTTTGACTATTGCTAGTATGGGTGTCATTTAAATGTCTCAATTCTTAATTTAATAATTTTTTTTATACTGCACTTAATAAGCAATAAATAAATAAAATAATTAAAACTACATAAAAATAATTTTACTAAAACTAATTAATAAATTTTTCGTAAAACTTTAAAAACATAAAATTGATTATTAATACAATTAAAAAAAAAATACTGATTAAATTTTTCTTCGAAACCTTGTACAAATTTTGCAAAAATGTCTATTATTGCCCTCTAGCGTTAAAAAATAAAGTAAACGTGATTTATTATTATTATTATTTTTTTTACTGTATTTGATTTTTTTAAATTAATATTCCACAATAATAAGGAATTAATTTTTAATTTAAATTAATTTATATAAAGAAAATTATATATTAGTTTATTACGTTATGATTTAATTATTTATTTTTGGTTTCGTATTTTAATCAACATTTAAGAGTTAACGACCACTGTGATGGGTGAGACGTTGTTGAAACAAAAAAAGTTATGCAATTCCATCATGTACATAAACGGTGTCGTAATTCGCCAAGTGCAAATCAGCAAATTCGTAAAATTTTTGTTTATTTTGAACAATCCGGATAATCGAAAATCCGGATAATGGAGGTCCGGATAATGGAGGTTCTACTGTAATATGCATAATTCTATAAAATGTTCTCTTAGTAAAAAAATAGATTATTATATATATTATATTTGTGAGCATTATGTTTATTAAGTAATGTTCTTTTGGCAGTGCTGTAACTATCCATTCCTGTGCCCTGTGCACGAATTTGCATTTAGGCCCTTTAATTAATTAGGTTTGGGAAAATAATAAAACAAATACATGCATTTTGAGCCCCCTTTTAATTGGGCTCTCTGCGGGTGCACCTGTTGTACCTGCCTAGTTAC